TGTCTATCTGTCTATTCACTTATATTTACCTGTTTCTCTTTGTATCTGTGTCTATCTGTCTATTCACTTATATTTACCTGTTTCTCTTTGTATCTGTGTCTATCTGTCTATTCTGTCTATTCACTTATATTTACCTGTTTCTCTTAGTCTCTATGTTTACCGTTCTCTCTAAATCGCAGTCTATCTGAATTTCTAAATCTCTTTTTCACAGAATCTGTAAATATCTAAATATTTCTCCATCTCTTTGAATCTCAGTATCTCTGTCACTCCCCGAATTTACAATTCTCTGAATCTCTTTAACTCTGAATCTCTTTCATTGTATCTCTCAAAATCTCTGTCTCTCTGTCTCTCTAAACTCTATTTCTATGAATGTCTCAAAATCTTTATTTCTTTTAATCTCTGTCTCCCGAAATTTCAGTCTCTCTAAACTCTATCTCTCTGAATCTCTCGAAATCTCTATCTCTTTGTCTCTTTGAATCTCTATATCTCTGAATCTCTGAATTTCTAAATCTCCAAATCTTTATTTCTCTAAAACTCTATATCTCTAAATCTCTGTTTCTCTAATCGTCACCAAAAATCCCTTTTCGCTGTGCAATGATTTACACTCTCTGATAATGAAAAAATGGCGATTTAAAAAGCACTTTGGAAAGAAAATGGGTTGAAAACCATCCTCCCTAGTTTAGATAGAAAGATAACAAGATAGTTAAAGTATCAATAATGTCTTAAATGTTTAATGTCCCTGGGACTGGATTAATGATATCGGTTTGAGTTCTCAATATCTAGGTTCAGGTTTAGGTTGGGGTTTTGGTTTCACCTTGACTCTTTTGCCATCTTTAGATGAGCTTTAGAGTGACAAATCTATTGACACCATGGTATCGATTCTCCTCCCCCCCCCCTCCCCCTGATAACCACTTCCTCAAATATGAGACATGATACTGCTCTAAATATCTTTCTCATGCTTAGGGTTTTAATCAACATTTCAAGACGCGTCATTAGTAAGCGATAATCATTGAAATTGTGGTCTTAAATGATAAATATATCAATAGCCTGGATAGCCTAGATAGATAGATAGATATATAGCTAGATAGATAGACAGACAGATAGATAGATGGTTAGATAGATAGATAGACTATTAAGATATGTAGGTAGATATATAGATAGATTGCTAGATAGATAGAAAGATAGATAGACCATAAAGATGGGTAGATAGATAAAGATTGATATAAATAAATTGAAAGAATATATAAATAGATAGATATAGATCCATAGATAGACAGATAAATAGATAGATAGACAGATAGATAGATAGATAGATAGATAGATAAGATTGATATAAATAAATTGAAAGAATATATAAATAGATAGATATAGATCCATAGATAGATAGATAGATAGATAGATAGATAGATAGATAGATAGATAGATAGATAGATAGATAGATAGATAGATAGATAGATAGATAGATTGTGTGTGCAATTGTATGTTTGTGTACATGTCTATGCATGCAAAGATTATATCCATATTCCTTGTAACATATGGTAAGTATAATAACAGTAAACATCAAATATAATTGAAAATGTTAAAATATTAAACAGCGGATAAAAGATTTTAATTTATGGAAACATGGAAATATTAAGTCAGATTTTTGTGTTTTTAATCTCAGAATCCAGCTTTAATCTCTATCTTATCTCCATTAATCTAAGACCTCTTCGATTTACCGTAGAGGTCATGCCATACATGGATAACTTTAATTCATATATGAAGCATTAATCCTCAAATTTAAAAGTTCTAACATTAGATATCGAGATAAAACGTTCAATATTAACGATACTGTAAACAGAAGTTCAGATGATCGATTGAATTATTGTTATCAATATTTTGAACATTTTTGAAAATTAGTTAATTGATTCAGGAGATTACATAAACATTGATTCAGGGGATTAGTTAAATATGGATATAGGAGATTAGATAAATATGGAATCAGGAGATTAAATAAATATGGATTCAGGGGATTAGTTAAATATGGATTCAGGGAATTAGATAAATATAGATTTAGGAGATTAGATAAATATGCATTCAGGGAATTAAATAAATATGGATTCAGGAGATTAAATAAATATGGATTCAGGAGATAATTCAAATATGGATTCAGGGGATTAGATAAATATGGATTTAGGAGATTAGTTAAATATGGATTCAGGAGATTAGATAAATATGGATTCAGGAGATTAGTTAAATATGGATTCAGGAGATTAGATAAATATGGATTCAGGATATTAGTTAAATATGGATTCAGGAGATTAGATAATATGGATTCAGGGGATTAGTTAAATATGGATTCAGTAGATTAGATAAATATGGATTTAGGAGATTAGTTAAATATGGATTCAGGAGATTAGTTAAATATGGATTCAGGAGATTAGATAAATATGGATTCAGGAGATTAGATAAATATGCATTCAGGGGATTAGTTAAATATGGATTCAGGAGATAAAATAAATATGGATACAGGAGATTAGATAAATATGCATTCACGGGATTAGGTAAATATGGATTCAGGAGATTAAATAAATATGGATTCAATAGATTAGATACATATGGATTCAGGAGATTAGTTTAATATGGATTCAAGAGATTAGTTAAATATGGATTCAGGAGATTAGATAAATAAAGATTCAGGAGATTAGATATATATGGATTCAGGAGATTAGATAAATATGGATTCAGGAGATTAGTTAAATATGGATTCAGGAGATTAGATAAATATGGATTCAGGAGATTAGATAAATATGGATTCTGGAGATTAGATATATATGGATTCAGGAGGTTAGATAAATATGGATTCAGGAGATTAGTTAAATAAAGATTTAGGAGATTAGATAAATATGGATTCAGGAGATTAGATATATATGGATTCAGGAGATTAGATAAATATGGATTCAGGAGATTAGTTGAATAAAGATTTAGAAGATTAGATAAATATGGATTCAGGAGATTAGATAAATATGGATTCAGGAAATTAGATATATATGGATTCAGGAGATTAGTTAAATAAAGATTCAGAAGATTAGATGAAAATGGATTCAGGAGATTAGATGAAAATGGATTCAGGAGATTAGATAAAAATAGATTCAGGAGATTAGATGAAAATGGATTCAGGAGATTAGTTAAATTTTGTAGATTCATTTTCAAGAATGATACAGAGTCAATATTTACTCTGGTTGTGTACTATGTATTGTATGGTAGTTTAATTTGTATTAGAAAATAGGGGAACCAGCACATCATGAGAGATAGATCGAATAGGAGGATACGGTAAAACATAAAAGAATCAAAGAATATCAGAGAGTATCACAGAGTACCAGAGAGTATCACAGAGTATCAGAGAGTATCAGAGTTTATAAAAGAGTATAAAAGAGTAACATAAAGTATCAGAGAGTATTAGAGAGTATCAAAGAGTATCAAAGCGTATCAGAGAGTATCAGAGAATATCAGAGAGTATCAGAGAGTATCAGAGAGTATCAGTGAGTTCCACCCCATCCCTGCTCCAGTACAAACCAGTAAAACCAAAGATCAACAACACAGGAGAGAGAAAAAAGAGAAAAGAACTCCTTGCTGAGGGTTTCCCTGGAGCTGAAACCCATGGAGAAGGTTCCTCAGGGGTAGGAGCTATAAATACAGGTTCTGCAGAAGAAGAACTACACAGCGTTGGGTCCGCAAGTGAAGGAGCCCTTAGAGAAGATTCCTTAGGATCAGGAGCCCCCAGAGCAGGTTCCTTATGATCAGGAGCGCACAGAGATTCCTTTGGATCAGGAGCCCTAAGAGCAGATTTCTTAGGATCTGGAGCCTCCACAGTCGGTTCGGCAGGATCATTCTATATTTATATTATTCTATCTTCTGCATTTTACGAAATAAACATTTAAATCTTTTAAAAAAGAGTATCAGAGAATATCAGAGAGCATAAGAAAGTATCAGAGAGTATCAGAGAGTAACAGAGCGTATCAAAGAGTATCAGAAAGTATCAGAGAGTACCAGAGAGTAACAGAGCGTATCAAAGAGTATCAGAGAGTATCAGAGAGCACCAGAGAGTATAAAAGAGTATCAGAGAGCACAAGGGAGTAGTTGATAGAATCAGAAAGTATTAGAGAGTATTAAAGAGTATTAGAGAGTATCAGAGAGCATCTGAAAGTATCAGAGAGTATAAGAGAGTATAAGAGAGTAGCAGAGAGAATGAGAGAATGTATTCAGTTCTCTGGTACTTTCTGGAATGAAATTTTAGACTGTTTAGACTAGAGTCTACATAGAGTATGTATTTTTTCAACCTTTACCTTATCTTTCAAACACAGTTTTAATTCAGTATTCAACTAAAAACTATACAAACTGGAAGGAGGTTTAATAAGTATTGAAGAAAAAAAATATTATCTGGGGGTATCAGAGAGTATTTCTGAGAGAGAGAGTATTGGGACGTACCAGAGAGTAGTGCATAGATGTGCGTACTGTTTAACCCCCCTAGAGTAAATAAATATATTTTAACCTTCAGCTTATCTTTCAAATACAATTTTACATCAGTACTTGACTATCATCTACACAAACTATACAAACTCGGGAGATATGGGAGACATATCTTTTTTTTTATTAATTCTCTAGATTTTTAAAATAATTATTTTATTATAAATACTTCTTTAAAAGGACAGGTTGCCAAAAGTTAAGTGATCCTCCATCAAAAGATGACAATGGACTGAACCCTTAAAAGTTTTGTCTGATAAAGATGTAAATTATCATTTTCAATTTTTGTTACTTTACAAAAGCGATTTCTGCATTTTTACTGCAGAAAAAAATCTATGAATTATCAGAATTAAACACCTTAAAACCTATCAATTAATTATTTATTTATTTATCATCTTTTAACAATTTTTTATTAAGATAAACTTACAATTTACAATTCTTATGTGCATTTTGATGTAATGTCTTATTTTTCATAATTAGTATTTTAAAGTTATTTTTATCATGTTTTTTAATACTTTTTTTACAGTGACAAATATTTCATAAATTAAAACTAAACTGATAATAACGTACTAAACAAACAAATTTGAGTTAGATTAGTCAGTAGTGATTCTTATTAATTTTTATTTTTTATTTCTTATTTATCAAAATTGGTATTTTTACTATTTTATTATTAACATTATTGTTATTGTTTTTACAATTATTATTATTATCATGATTATAAATATTATTATTATTATTATTATTATTATTATTATTAGTATTATTATTATTATCATGATTATAAATATTAATAATATTATTATTTTTATTTATTCTTGTGGAAACTATTGTATTTTTTCAGTGCTATTATTTAATTATTTTTCAGAAAATAACAAAACTAAAGAAACAATATGGCTGAGATTAAGATTACCTATTTCAACACAAAAGGAAGAGCAGAGATTTCAAGACTTATCTTGGCGTACGCTGGGGTCAGGTAGGGGTCAACTAGGGATCGGTAGGGGTCAGGTAAGGGTCAGGTAGGGATCAGGTAGAGGTCAGGTAGGCTGGAAGGGGTCAGGTAGGGGTCAGATAGGGGTCATGTAGGGGTTAGGTATGGGTCAGGTTGGGGTCAGGTTGGGGTTCAGGTTGGGGTCAGGTAGGGGTCAGGTAGGGGTTAGGCAGGGGTCAGGCAGGGGTTAGGTAGGGATCAAAGCAAGGTGTGTATACAAAATGAGAGAGGGGGGTAGGGTTTGTGTACACTGTACTTCAACTTAATAAGACTTCTAGAACTAAAGTTTGGCTCCCATGACATAACAGGAGCGTAAATTCCGCCCATTTTTTCACTCCAAGATTAGACTGCTTACTTGCGTTTATTTTGCGTTGTCATAAAGTCTTACTGACTTGCATTTTTCATATCATAGCAATAACAAAAATTGTAAACAAAAGTACTTGAATTTTCGTGAACCCAAAACTTATCGTTGTAAAAAGCAGTTTTGGAACCCAGGTTTCACAGATGGGGTTAGGCAGTTTTGTAGATATGAGTATTTTTGTTATGAAATATTATATATTATTTAGTTTCTTCATATTCTCCTTTTTTCGAAACTCTTAAATCAAAATCTACTTAAATTTCAAGACCCCAAAATGGAAACTTGGGAGTTTCATTCAACTATACTCTTTTAAATTTCGGGCTATGACCAGCTGTGCAATGTACACAGGCCCTATAGATTGATTTTTAAGCTACTGATAAAACTAGTTCATCCAGGACTAACCAGGGCGAGATGCATTCGGTGTATTCTATTTGAATTCAATCATGCGTGGGTCTAAAATTCAATTTGTATTAATTTTCGTTTCAAATGCATATTCCGATAAAAAAATTATAAAAGAAAAGAAGCAAACACGTTATGTTTAATATGTCAAAAACATCAAATACACATAAAATTGATTAAATGTCGTCTTCCCATTCCAGAGTTTTACCAGCTCTACTCTAGGTATACAGATGAGAGAGTAAACAACTTCCCTGAGATCAAGGCTACTCTACCCTTCGGTCAACTCCCTGTGCTAACCTACAAAGGAACTGTTATTGCTCAAAGTTTAACTATGGCCAGGTCAGTCGCTGAAAATGTATGTCTCTATGCCAAACCAGGGCGAGATGCGTTTAGTCTTCAACTTGACTTAAAGATGGCAATGCCCGCCCCGATTTACAACGGTACCCTTGAAAGCTTTGCCTGATCAAGGTAAGTTAAATATCAATGTTTTTGTTAATTTGAACTTGATCAGATAAAAGTTTCAAGGGTACCGTATGGCAATGCCTTCTTTGCCTGGAGGATCAATTGAAATTGCGCTTATAGTCCCTTTAAACCACGTTTTGGTAAATAATTTAAACTTACTAAGTCATTTTATGCTTTTTATTTGAAACATATACGCCGACAAAAAAGAATAAAAGAGAAGAGACAAGGATAGAATTGTTAAATGAGCTTGGTGTACAGGTACTATGTATATCACCCCCGTCTAAAGTAGCATGATCCGTGCCAGTACAATATGTACTGTATATTCAGTCCGTCGTACTGTCCAGTCTGGCTACCCAGTGTGGAGTCGACTTAGCACTTTTTATGCAGTAAATGTAGCCTTGGCAAGATCATTGTAATATTATATTACGCTGACCAAACCGTAATACTAAGAGTTAGAGATGAAACAAACAGACAAATTTTCAATGACTGCGCTACAATGCCGGGCACTTAAGCAATTAAATATTAAATATATTAATTTAACCTCTTTAACTCTTTTTAACGCCAAAACACCGAATAAAGCGTCCCTATGCTGTCGTCTGAAAATTTTAATATCAATCTTTAAGTCTTTACTTTAGAACATTCTTTCCCAGATTTACGATGGAATTAAAGATGAAAGACCACCCTGGACTAAACATTCGGTTTCTTCTATTTTAATCTGATCACGTTTGGGTCTAAAACCACCTTCCGCCGGTTCAAATTATGAATCACCACTTCAAATCCTGATGAATCCTTAACTTTGAATCGCTGGTTCAGGATTTGTACCCAGCGCATCATTAAATTGAATCTCTAGTATCCTTGTTCAGGTTCCTGGCTAATGAGTACGGGCTGACCGGAAGCTCTAACCTGGAAGCAGCTCAAGCAGATGAAATAGTAGATTCAGCTCTAGATATCATGAATGCTGGGATACCACTTATGAGGTACAGATAGATAGATAGGTAGATAGATAGTTAGATAGATAGATAGATAGATAGATAGATAGATAGATAGATAGATAGATAGATAGATAGATAGAAAGATAGATAGATAGATAGATAGATAGATAGATAGATAGATGCATTTTATTTAGTATTTTCTTTAAAGGGAGTGTCTGGTTAGACATGGTAGTTGAAAATGCAGTTTGGTTAAGAAAATTCTTAGGATTTATTTGGGACCTATAAGACGTTTTTACGGTGCATATTTGTTCAGCATGCAAGAGCGAAAATTCAATCTTTAAAATCCTCATAGATTGTCCATTTTGTAGGAATGATTTTGAGAATCGGGTTTTAAAAAAATAATCAATAACGACAACAAAAAATGTAAGAAAAATTATACAATTTTAGAATCAATTATTTCTTTTTTATTATTATATTAAATTTCTTATTCTTTACGAATTTGTTCGCAGATTTCTTTAAATTCTTCAAATGTCGTCTTTTCAATAAAAATTCCAGGAAATCTACAGAAACATTACAGAAACCAAGAACTGAATAAGATTACTCAATTTTGATGATGATAGTTAATTTTTATTTTCTCAACCTCTTCCTGCATTCTCAGCTCAACTACCATGTCTAACCAGCCACTCCCTTTAAAGGCATAGTTTTCAGGTGTAAAGATGAGGAGGAGAAGAAGGTTCTAGAGAAGGTGTACTTCGCCAAGGTCATGGAGTACTTCACTAGGATGGAGAACATACTTGTCACCAGGGGCGGACAGTTCTTTGTCGGGAACGCCCTCACCTGGGCGGATCTTATGATCTTCGCCTTTGGAGATCTCTTGAAGGATATGAATGCTGCTGCTTTGAATGGATTTCCAGTGATCACTGATCTCCTCCGAAGGATCGCTGAGATACCAAATATTAAGAAATGGTTGGAGACAAGACCAAAAAGTTCTTAAATAACAAATAACAATTATATGAACTTGAGATAAATAACAATTATATTAACATGGACTAGAAAAATTAAACTAAACTATTATTCAATTTAAGATTCTTTACCTCTAATGAATACATGACACAGTAATATTTTATGGCACAAAGAACTTTACACTTGTTGCCTGGGTTCCGATAGTGATATATAGGTTTTTCTTCTGGATTACCAAATATCAATTTTTAGATAAATATCCAATTACGATAACGAAGTTTTTCTTAAACATGATAACATTGAAAACGAAAACGACTGTTTGTTCTTTTTTTCCAACCAATAAGAATATTAATCGAGGAACAAGTGTTTAAACTGAAAACTGAAAATACATCTGATATCTACAAATGTATGATGATCAGCTAAAAAAGAAGAAAAAAGTCAGAGAAAAAATTCACTGCTCTTTATAAAGTTTTGTGAAAAATTTTAATTTAAAAACAAATTGTAAAAAAAGACTGTTTATTCTTGTGGTTTGTTTAGTTTGAGTTCACGAACAAGAGTGTTTAAATCGTATTTCAGTGTCCAAATGTGGTGTGACATGTTGGGACTTTAAAATGAAATGATGATGGTTAATATTGATTTTTAAATACTTGTGTTCCTTATCGATTAAAGTCTGAAAACAATTTTAAATATATCTATCAATTTCGAGGATAGTTTTTAACCTCCTTTTCTTTCAGCTATGTTTAATGTTTAATTCCTTTAATTTTTCTTTAACCTTGATATATTCTTTCATTTTTTTTCTTAACTTTCTTTTCCTGCACAAGTAATTTCAAGTAAGTCTCTATTTTAGAGTGGCATGTTAAATTCACAAAATCGCATTTCTACTCCAGAAACAAAGTTTGTCAGAATTCAACACCTTTTAACCTTCAAATTTCATCCCATTTCCCACGAATTTAGGTTTTTACATTTCCCTTTTTAATGCTTATTTTCCTTTTTAAATTTTCTTATTTTTTCCTTAAGCTTTTTGTGGCTTTTTTACTTTTCCCTTTTCTCCTTTCCATTCCCTTCCCTGTTCCTTTCAATATTTCTCCCATAGTTTTTCCATTGATTATCTTCTGATTCTATTCTTTTCCTTAATCTAGATTTTTCTGTTTCCTACTTTTTTTTCTCCCTTTCTCCTTCTAATTATGATATTGCATCTTTACTCAGGGTGTAACCCCCAACACAGGGAATATTATCTATCCTGGAGTATCTTTTACTAGTTACATACTATCTCAGGATCATCACAACTATAATAGTATATATATATATATGTACTTTATATATACTATATATATATATATATATATATATATATATATATAGGTAGATAAATAGACGTACAAATATTTCATATTTAGAAAAACCATACAAATATGAGATATGTTTTTTATGCATCTATGAAAAATATATATCTACTAAAAATACACATATATTTACTACATTAATAAAAAGATTAATTAAAAGACAGATATTTGATGCATAGACATATAGTTTGTTTGTTTGTATGTGTCCCGAAAGCGTCAAAACGGCTAAACCGATCCGGCTCCATTTCAAAATTTAGCCTCCAACAGAATTCGATTTTCATTAAATTTTGAAAATCCATGACATTTTTAAATAAAATCCGTGAACTTTTTTGTTTTTATTTTACAACTTATACAAAGAGGAAAATGTTCACATTAGAAGATAGGCGCGAAGCGCCCTGAAATCCTAGTATAAATATCAATAGATAGCTTAAGATATTTGATGAATAAATAAAATAAGTTGTATCATATGATTATGTCTAATACCATCTTTTAAAAAAGATAAAGAAAATAAAAATTATTGAAAAATAGATAGATATATAGATAGATAGATATCTAGATAGAAATAGATAGAGTGTAATTAAGGTGATGATGATAATGATAGGTGAACTAGGTAGACTAGGTGAACTAGGGAGAATCTATAGAATATTGATGGGAGGGGAGGGGGGGNGGTGTCCATGGTTTGGGGAAGGGAAGGGGAGAAATGTAGAATAAGAATTTCTTCTGTTATATATGAATTATAAATAGAATTGATGTACAAAAAATTTCATCTTTTGGATTAAATTAGTGTTTTTGGATACTGGATTTTATTAAAGTGTCATGATGATTTGAACAGCAATATCTAAACATAACCTGCCGAACATAACCTCAAACCTTTTAACCCTAAAACTCATTCATTTTAAAATACCAATTTTATTCTCTTACTTCTGTGTAACCTATTGGATTGAAACCTACTGGTAACAGTCTTATTACGTCCGAAATTCAGCCATATGTCAACAGTCTTTAACTATTTTAAGTTGTCACGAAATGTGTTTGTAAAGTTAAACATTAAGCTAGCTCGGGAACCCAGCTTCGTCTGAAAGATAAAATTCGACCCACTCATTTTAGAATGTTTTAACCGTGGTGGTTATACCTAGCTCCCCAATCCAAAGGAATTGAATGTTTGCCACAAACTCAAATCTTCTGATCCCAATATCTTTGCAACCTGATGGTGCAAACCTTTGATATTTCAAACTTAGATTATCACAATAAAGACACGTGGATTTAAGATAGATATCTATTGAAATCAAACTAACTAGAAATACCAGAAAGGAATTGAGTCTTTGCAACAAACTAAAATATTCTAGTTCCTAAATCTTTGCTACCTGATAGTGTAGACCTTTTATATTTTAAATTTAGATTATTTAATCTAGCAGAATTCATAGTTTGAAATATCTAAGATTTATGACATTGGGTTACAAAGATAAAGGAATTAAAAAATCAGAGTTTGTATTCCTTTTCTCCATGTTTAAATGCACAGCCAGGGTGTTCCACGAAACATGACAGTTGAGATACAACTCAAAATAACTAAGGGTTTTAAAGATTTTTTCTTAAATAAATGTCGTACTTTTTTTAAAGATCAACTAAGATCTTTATGCCGTCTCGATTAACTGTAAAGTTTTGTTTGACACACTGTACTTATAAATAGTTTCAAGATGTTTTCTCATTATATCAACCACTCACATTGAAGTTCCCGTTCTGAGTGTAAGTTATTTGAAATAAACGTATTTTTAAGTTGTATTGGGTATGCCACATAAAAATATTATAAACGAGGTAACTGCAAGGCTGTTGAGGGAAAAATTTGTTAAAATGCAGAATGGACCAAATGTCGTCTTTTCTCTCAAATTGTTCTGTCCATAGACATCGAGGTTACATGTCTATGCATAGGTTAATTAAAATAACACTAGATGTCGTTTTTTTAAGATTTGGAAGAAACTCGTTCACAATAATCTTGAGGCAGCAGCCCAGAGGAGTTTCGCGCCGTCGGCGTAGAACAGCTCTCTCTGTCTTGTATTTCTACCCAAATGCGCGAAACTCCTCTGGGCTTCCGCTTGATTACTTGCTTCAACTTAATTTTGACGTCAAACAGTTTTTTAATCAAGCTTCATCTAGTAGTTTTCAATGAAAATCATAATATTATTTGCAAACTTACGACACTTTTTAATGTCAAAAGGTTTACAACCTTTTTCGAATTTTGTAATCCTCTTTAGGAATATCAGCAATTTTTACGAATTTGGCAGCCCTATCACTATGTAAGCGAAAAAAATTGCCAAACTTTGGTTTCCTACGTGCCAAACTACTTTTTTGGCATAATGAAAAAGCATCCTTGAGGTGTCAAATCAGATAAAAAAAAATTCAGCAAAAGTAGTTCGCATGTTACATTCAACAGAAACTGTTTTTGAACCTTCTTTAAAACTTTACAAGCTCATGCTCCAGTAATGGTAAAATAGTGAAATATTGGATATTTGCAATATGACATATTTAAGAATTGAAATCATGTTGAAGATTAGTTTCATCGCTTTCCACGCGCCAGTCTAGCTTAAACCCAAAAGCTGTTTCAATACACACTTTATATAGCAACACAGTACGGTATTATTATTTAAAAACTACAAACTATCATTCAATCAAAAGTTCAATATTATGATATTTTGATGGAGTAGCGTTTTTTCGTTACTAGCGTTTTATCTAGTAGCGTTTTATGAGGGTAATGTTTTATGCGGTAGGGTTTTATCTATGAAGCGTTTTATGAATGTAGCGTTTTTCTAGTATGACCAAACAAGCCAGGGGCAGAGGAATATAACAGTCACTTGATGTGCACAGAGCATTAGAATTTACGTGAAATTTTGAAAAACAGAATAAAATTAAAAGAGAAAATAAAATAAGCATCTATTCAATGTGAAATTATTTAAGTCACAATACAAAAAATCTCACGAAAGGTGATTATTTAAATCAAATATTTCATCAAACTAAACTAAAAATTAAAATTTTCGGAAAATTATTAAAGTTTCGCATTAATGATTTTTTTATTGAAAGGAAAATATTCATTTATCAATTTTCAGGACATTTTCTCAATATTTTCGTGCAGAACATTAATTTACAATTAGAAAATAAATAGAAAATAATTTTTAGGTTTTACTGATACATATTTACTATGTTTTAAATAATATTGCTTTATCTTTGACAGTAAAACTTTTTTTAAAACTTTTTTGTTTTGTTTTTTAATTTGCGATATTTACAAAACTTTAGAAGAAAATTGAAAACTTTAAGTGAAATGATCAAGTATTTGCCACAAACTCAAATTTTCTTATCCCCATATCTTCTAAACCTTTGATATTTCAAACTTTTATTATTTGATCTACATATTGAGGTGCAAAGATATAGGGATTATAAAGTCAGATTTTGTGGGAAGGAATCAATTCCTTTAGAAATCTAACCCCCTTTAAACATTCCTGGGGTCATTCATGAGGTCCAGTGCAAAAATGGGTCCGATTGGTTCAGTAGTTTACATAGAGACTAAACCAGGTTTGTTTAACGTAGAAAGTATTACAATCCAGTAAACCAGAGTTTTACCAAGTTTCGTAAAATTAAAGTTTCCATAACCGGGTTTCGGTGAAGATTTCTTAATCGGGGTTTCGTTAGGAATATCATTTTTAGATCTAGATTGAAGGATTTGGCAAATATACACAAAATATCTTTCTGACATTTCATTCATATTTTAAAGAATTTAAATACTATGAACATAAAG